CGGTCGAAGCAGACGGACGCTTGTCCTGAGCCTGGATCTGCTAAAGGTTTCTTCCTCATGAGGGAGTTTTTCCTTTCCACCGTCGCCTTCATGCTCGCTCAAGATGAGTCTGTGATGGAGTTAAAAAATTTAATCTGAGCTACATTTCTGACAACAAAGTCCACACACAGGTCTCTATTGTAAACGAGTCCTCGTTACTCACTGAAGTTGAATGAATGTTTCTGTTCGGTGCGCTGAGACGACTCCTGTTGTGACTTGACGCTACATGTATATAAATAAACTGAAGTGAATTGAAACTCTGTAGCTGGTAAATGTGCGAGGAACAGTGTAAATAGTTTGTTGTATCATCAGAGCCCCTTTAGATATTTAGAAGAATGTAACTTTAAGAGATCTAATAACGGTATCAGCCGAAGTAGCAGCCGAAGCAGCAATACAAGCTCAGTTTATTTATGGCACTGAGCTGCTTTATCAATAATAGATAAAAATAATCTATAAAACATAAACAGACCCCAATGAAAAATGGAAAACTTAAAGATGTAAAAAAATTCCAATTAGTTTTTTTATCTGCTGCACCTTGTTAAAGTTCGGGCTTTAAGCCGAGTCTTTCAGGATTTGTTTGGGGGAATTACTTTTACAACAGAATAAAGCTTCTAGCTCTGTAAAATGATTGGGCTTTCTTGCTCTTCTGAGAATTACTCCGATTTTTCTAATGAAATTCACCTGAACGGGTTGTGAGGGCCGAGATAAAACCTTTAATTGGAGATCCCCTCTGAGGCTTTTTATTGTTTTATTTTCCAGGCCATCTCTATTTTTTTATTCTTAGTGTTTTCATAGTGTGGGGTTAGATTCAGAATAGTTTTTGTTTTTGAACTGAATCCATTGAAACGTTCCCTGTACCACCAGCTGTAACACACGCTCAGTCTCCACAAATTGATTTCATAAAGATCTGAAACCTTTTCTTTCATTCGCTGCTTGAAGGTGGCATTTTCTCCTAATCGGTCACCGGGATTGTTCGTTCAGTTTTCTTCTGATGAATCCTCTGATGACTGAAGGTCATATGTGCGCGGCAGCTACATCTTCCTGTAGGCGTTTTGCCCTCAAACAGCTTTTCATTTACCTCGTTTTCTTTAGGGTTTGACCCGCACGATTCCTGCTTACTGTCTTAGATTACAAATTGTCGAGTCGAATGTTTTGCTACCTTCTTTTGCTTTTTGAGCAGAACATTGATTTTCAGTCTTCTTTAGCTGCTTAAAGAGACTCCAGGCTCAGATTGACCCTCAAACCGCCCCCAGTCAGACACCCCAGGACGTCACTGCAGAGCTGAATCAGGTCGGTCTGAGTGTATTTTTTATACTATTATTTATACTAGTATTTATTTATGAGTTTAATGAAAGGTGGCGGGTGATATGCATTCCTTCAAGTGTATCATTTTCCTATGTTTCCGTACATTTTTTTTAAACCACCTCCTGCATTTTTGGTGCTATTTTAGCTATTCATGAATCAAAATGTTTTACTTTTACAAATATTTTACTTTATTTCCAAACAAAAGTCCTCTTAGAAATACAGAGATCTCTTCAGTTCCTTCAACATACTTGTCATATTAAACTACATCTTGTTTTTAGCTTGCTTTCTGCTACTTTTAGCTCTTACATAACCTTTTGATACTTTGAGAAAACTAAACTGAAATAAGATAAATAAGATTTTATAAATATATTTTAGAGCAGCAGAGGAAAGAGAATAATTTACTACCATTCTTGGAAGCAGTTGGTTTCTCACTTGTGTTGTTAAAGTAACTTAACATCCAAGTTTACATTTTTTTCCCCACAAACTAAATCTCTGGGTTTCTTTGAAAAAGGGTGAGTCGCAGCTGTCCACTATCAAGTTCTCTAGATTTCTGTGGGAGGTAAAGTATAAACGGTTACAGCTTTGGTTCTTGTCGAGGTTGAATAATTTGCATGTGTCCTGGTCTGAGGGAGTTTACTGCAAGTTTCTGCCTCCAAAAATGTAAACGGTTCCCTCTCCGAGCTCCAAACGACCAGTTTCTAAGAACAAGAGAAGCAGCTCCTTCCTCCTAGTTGACCTAAATAACTTGTATTTTTGCAACACTAACATGAGCACAAAAAAATCCTCACAAACTTTAAAACATTCAGTCAATAAACATAGAACTCGTCTGGTTTTCTTTTAGATTTCAGACAGAAATAACTCATTTTAAAAGCTTCTCATCTTCATTTTTACCATGGATTTACGGCCTTCGAGGGAGTGAACTGTTTTTTTTTTGTTCTTTAGCAAAAGATAAATTGGCTAAAAGTGCTTTGATGTCCACTCCTATCTGCTAAAGTTCAAACTGTCTCTGTTCTGACCTTTGTATGACCTTATATTTATATAGATTGGTGTGAATTATTTAACAATAAAAAGTTAACATCTCCATGAAGGAAAGCATATCACCTGCTGCCAGGCCAGAGTTTTAAACTAAGATTATCTCATGTTGTTCAAGGAGGACAGGAGTTCAAGTGTCTGGAGTCTTGTTCACAAGTGACGGTAGGATGGAGCAGGAGATGGATCGACGGCTTAGGGCCTCATCCTCAGTAATAAGGGTGTTGCACGGTCAGTCGTAGTGAAGAAAGAGCTGAGTCGATAGGCAAAGCTATCGATTTAGTGGTCTGTTTACGTTCCGACCCTATGGTCACGAGGTTTGGTAAGAGGACCGGGGAAGACCCGGAAGTTGTTGGAGGGACTGTGCATCTTCTCGGGCCTGGGAATGATTTGGGGTCTCCCAGAACGAGCTGGGAAGTGTCGCTGGGGAGAGGAATGTCTGGGTTTTTCTCCTGGACATGCTGCCTCCATGACCCGACTACAGATGAGCAGTAGATGTTTAATCGATACAATCCAGTCAAAAATCGACTACAGCATTTAAACAGTCATTAACAGAAACAGTTGAAAAGTTGCTTCTTGGCTGATAGACAATCTAAAATATATATATATATGATATGTATACAAAATACCTGGTGAGATTCTACCTTGTGGGGGGCAAGACTTAGGAAATCCAAAATAAGTAATGTTGATCATGTGAGTAGTTTAAATGGGAGCAGTAACTTTATGATCATGTATTTGTCCAAAATAAATCAATAAATACAGACAACACTAAACATACTGTATCTGAGACTGATGCATAAAAAAGTCCTCCCTCTGCTACACTTTCTATACTGGATTATTGAGCATGATGCATCAGGATACTTCTATGAACATTTTCCTCAGCTCTGTGGTGACAGCGCCCCCGTGTGGTCATGGAAATAACATTTTCAGTGCTTGTTCTGCCCGACTTGCTTCTTGCAGTCAGGTCTGAGTGAAAAAGTTTAAATATAAGAAATATATATATTATGACCTTATCTCAGCTATATTTTTTTAATTTATATTTTATATTCAGGCTCCAGTAAAATTAGCTGAGGTTAAAAAGAAAAGCTGGAAATGTCAAACTTAGTTTGTACAGTTAAAAGTCATGCGAAGAAAGTTCTTACCTAGATTTATTTTTAACTGGAAAACTAAAATTTGAGGGAATTTACAGTTGTTTTTATAGTGGGGACGATGTTCTTACCTGCATGTGACTTTTATCTATGAACCATTGGACAGGTTTTATTTAAACTCTCAAAAAGTAAACATCACATGCACGTCTATAACTCAGTTCAACATGGCTTACACAGCTGATCATTAACCGATGCAAAAATATATTGTGGCAGTAGCTGAGAGTCATTCACAACACATACGCTGAGTGTGAAATCTTGTAATATCCTACGTTATCATTTGCGAGGTCTGGCTTCATCCTGTCGTTTCACAGCAGATGATCTTAGTTTAAATGGTGGGTTTAGGTGGCGGTTGATATGCATTTCTTCAAGAAATGCTCAGCCTTCAACTTTTATTTGTTTTACTTTAAAGAAGGAAATCTTAAATTAGGAATAATATCCATCATCTTTACCCGCTTCTTCCTTTCCGGGTCACAGGGGGTCACTGGTGCTCGTATACAGCAGTCACTGTGCAAGAGGTGGGGGACACCCTGGACAGGTCTCCAGTCCATCACAGGGACATACAGAGACAACCATTCACTCTCTCACTCGCACCTGGGGACAACTTAGCGTTACCAATCAGTCTAACATGCGTGTTTTTGGTCTGTGGGAGGAAACTGGAGTACCTGAAAAAAATGTGTGCACGAGAACATGTAAACCGGGAGGCGAACCTGCAACCTCCTTGCTGTGAGGTGACCACTCTAACCGCTGCACCACACCGAATCTAGCTGAATGAAAACAGACCATCAGAACCCGCTCTGAGGAACGCCTATAATAATTAACATGAAAACCTGTTAAATACGCCGCATGGAAACCAATTTAAAAAGTCACATACTTTAATTAAAAAAAGTTACAAATACTGTACACTGGTTTTGAGCATGTGCAAAATGTAAAAAGAGAACAAATAATAATCCAGTTTAAGAACAATAAATGTAAAAACATTCTTTAGATTTCACGTAAAACACTTCTAATTCTAGTCAGGGTTAAAAAAAATCCTGCACTGAATCTGAAATGCTCGAGTCGAAGCGACGTAAACAAAAGGTTTTAGTTTTAATCTAAAGTAATAAAATCCTCCAGGTTGGAACCGTAATAGTATTCACAATTTATATAAGTTATATTTCTTGCCCAAAAAAAGAAGAAGAAGAAGTAAACAGTTTCCACTCAGGAGATCATAATTAGTGGTGGAGATCATAATTCCTACTGTGGGTTAAAGCAGAAAACTTCAGTAGCTGGAATGTTTGTTCACAAAGTCAACACCTGATTCTCAAGGCTTCACAAACAAAAGCTGAAAAAGAAAAAAGTGTTTCCAGTTTTCATCCCGAGAGGTGCAGGCTGTACGATGTGGGGAGTTAAACGATGACGCCGGTCCTCTTGCATCTCATTCACATCCAGACATGAGACTTATCTACATTTAGTTTGTTTCAGCCAGTCCAGCGGCAACACGTTCCGTTTTAAATAGAAAGTCTTTCACTCACAACTCAAGACGTTGGTCTTATTTGCAGGAGCTTCATTTTGCTTCCTAAAATAACATTTAAAAAAAGGGAAAGAACAATTAACTTTTTAAAACGTTAACCTCGTCCGTGTTTGATACTGCGACTCTTACCCAGCCCTTTGAAAAATTTGTTCACGCCACTCGGCTCGGGTTCTGGGCACGAATCCAGATACTCCACTACTCTGGTTTCAAAGAGTCCTGAGAGGAAAAGTGAAACGACGAGACGTCAACAGGAGAGACTTCCTGCAGGAAAAACTCTATTCACACTTAGAAGTTTCTATTTTGTATAAATGAATTAATAAAATACTTGAAACGAGAACCGACACCAAGAACTTGTTTTATTTATAATCCATAAAACGTTGAGTTAGATTTCCTAAAACAATTAACTTTGGGTTTGTTTCATATTGTGCCTTCATAAATAAGAACGCGCAAAGGTCCAAATAAAAACATTTATCGTATCATTTGCCCTACAAGTCACTTTTTGTTTTTTTGCATAATTTGCATGTCCTGCGACTTATACACCGAAGCAACATATTTATAAATTTTTCCCTTATTTAAACTAATTTTTGGCTGAGAAATTACCATTTTCATTCATTCTAACTGAAAATATTGAACATTACGATTTTCAGCCACAAGATGGCATTCGAGAAGTATGGCATGCCATTGTATCATGTAATAAGTAGAAGTGGCTATTAATGACACAATCAGCAACATATTTATGGATTTTTCCACTTTATTAGACATATTTGGACTGATGCGAAGTTTACGGCGGAAAATACGGTACTTTTTTTGTAAAAACAAATTCAAAACACTGCAACGTTATATGGACATCATAGTGAGTTTAAATGACCAAGTCATTCAGGAAACGCACTAAAGCAGCACGGTGTGAAGGCTTTTCATAAAACAGAGTACAAAGCAAAACTCAGCTGGGCTGACATGAAGCACAACTCATTAAATATGAGAATGAAGTTTCCCCATCACTTTGAAAACACGATAAATTAATGCAGTTTAATGAACCTTTTTCTAGTTACCTAATTTTTTAAAACTTAATTTAGGTTTGGTGAGAGTCATCATCGATCTTCCCTTGGATCCCTCGACTCTCTTGGCTCCTTGGCTTCATGCAGCCACTCCACTGTCAAGAATCTGGGAGTTATTTTGAGAGTACTTTAAAATTAGACTAACAGATAAATGCAGTTGTGAAATCCAGTTTCTTCCAACTAAGACTCGTTGCCATGGTGACGTCTTGTCTCCCTGTCAGAGACCTTGAAAAGGTGATTCACTTTATTAACTCTCGTTTGGACTATTGTAATTCATTATATGTTGGTTTAGATCAGGGCTGTCAAACTCACTTACAAAAAATGGGGCCAAAATTAAACCCTTTTTCAAACTAAGGGCCAATTTCAGAAACAACATAACTCAAACCAGAAACCAAACATCTTTTCTTGGTCACAGGTTCCTCAACAAGCGTTTGATTGGTCTCATTTGACGGTCTCTGTTGTGCTTTTGACGTCATAATCAAAGATTACTGAAAAAATTCAAGAGATTAAAGTATTTTACGTTTCACGTATCATCTTGGGGGCCAGAGAAGATGTCAACGAGGGCCACATTTGGCCCCCGGGCCTTGAGTTTGACACATGGTTTAGATAAATCATCTCTGCGTCACTTTCAAACTGTCCAAAACGCAGCAGCTCGTCTTTTAACAGCAACTAAAAAACAAACGCACATAACCCCAGTCCTGGCTTCTCTCCACCGCTTCCTGTCCATTGATTTTAAGATTTTATTTTCTTGTTTGTAAAGTCTTAAAAGGTCTTGCCCCGTCATATTTATGCGATCTTCTTAACAGCTACACTCCAGTAAGAGCACTCCGGTCTACCACAGTTCCTCTTAGATGTCCCCAGATCCAAACTGCAGTTCAGAGGTGATCGGGCTTTTGCAGTTGCTGCTCCAGAACTGTGGAACAGGTTACCTGGTCATTTAAAGACCCTGTTGAGACTTTTAAATGTTTGCTCAAAACTCATCTTTATTCCTGGCATTTGACCCATGCAGAGTCTGAGAACAAGCTAGAGCTGATTTTTATTGTTGTTGTATTTTATTGTTAACTTTCTTGTGTTTCCTGAGTGGCACAACAAGTATTTTTAATTTTTATTTGACTTAAATGCAAAGCACTTTGCTCAGATGTTGTTGTTTTTTCCCTCAGTAATAAATCTGTTGTTTAATCCCATGACCCGGCTGGTCACATAGACCTGATATAATCACTTCATCACGTTATTGATCAGCGGGACTGGCTTATTTTTTCACGTCAGCTGTTTTGCTTCTACTACTTCCTCATTTCACGAGACAGAGGCGCACCGGGGCGGGCTGGCTCAAACCTCCCTTTCACCTCGGATCATTCAGAAGTCACACAGAGGTGGCCGGAGGGCGTTGAACTCCCAGCCTGAGCCGTCTTGTGAGATTTTAGACAATCACCTGCATGGAAGGTGAGTAATAATGTAATTGCCAGTGTCTGTATTTGTTAGTCTGTTAGCAAAATATGTGATTTACCACAGGGGCAAACACAAAAATGACAAACTTTTTAATTGAGCTCATATGTTGTGTGGTGGTAGCTGGGAGTCTGTGTGTAATTTTATTCAAAAGGCTTAACATAAAGTAATTACCATATTTTCTGCCGTACAAGTCGCATCAATCCAAATATGTCGAGTAAAGTAGAAAAATCCATAAACACGTTGCTTCGCCGTATACATCGCATCTATTATGCATTACCGCTGACGCGTCGCGTTTGTCACTGCTGACAACCCGGTAATGTCAGCCGATGTTGTGCCAAATGGCGGCCGTGGGAGCGTGCACGGGAGGATTTTAACAAGAATTTAACAAGATTAACACTTAAAAACAATTATTTGTTTGCTTGAAATTACATCAAAGGTGTGTCTCAGTCTAACTTTTCTTTAATAAATGCACTTTGACGGTCAAATCAGCTGCATTTTCAAAAGCCGATACGCAGAAACATGAATGCGCAGAGGGCAACTCGCTGTCCATTTCTTAGAAATGTAACAAGATAACCACCTAAAAACCATTATTTGTTAGCTAGACTTTATAGCAAAGGTGTTGCTCAGTTGAACTTTTACTTAATAAATGCACTTCAATGGTCAAATTAGCTGCATTTCGCCGGGGTGGCGCAGTCAAATGAAGCTGATTCGGTTGCTCCAGACAGACGACGGTGGCAGGCTACGGCAAGCAGACTGTGTCATTAATGGCCACTTTTACAAACGGCATGCCATACTGCTTGACAGCCATCTAGCGGCTGAAAATGGTAGTGTTCAATATTTTCAGAATTAATGAAAATGGTCATATCTCAGCCAAAATTTGGTTTATAAATATGAGAAAAAAATCCATCAATATGTCGCTTTGGCGTATAAGTCAGAGGGCATGTAAATTATGAAAAAAAAATTGCAACTTATACAGCGAAAAATACATTAAACATTCCACTCCAAAAGTCACGGTCAACACACTGAGGTCACTAAACTGAACACGTTGCATTCAAGTGACTGAAAACAGAATCATTTCCTCGTTTGAACGTCCTGCTCAAACTCCGGCACTCGTTTTACAACCACAGCCGTTGATGTTGATGTTTCCCACAGCTGCTTTTGAATTTTGTCTGCATTGTTTGGGTACAATTTAGTTCTGAGCTTAAGAAGCAGAGAAATTTAAGGTTTAGGTTTATTGTTGCTCAACTAAATCTGACTTTAGACAACTAACTCGGCCCAGTAAATGAACGCTTCATGGTATCATTAACTCACCTCGTCTTCCTCCTCCCTTGCGCAGCTCTTTGTCCTGAATGAAACCGGCAAACATCTGGGTGTCCATGAAGAGCTGCAGGAACTGCCGGGCTCCACGGGACGGGTGAGACTTGCGGAAACTGTCCCGCTGAAGCTCCTTGGTTCCGTTGAAGGACTCGACCATGTGGAGAGGATAGTGGCCCACCAGCTCCACGAAAAACCGAACGAAAGCCTCCGACAGCAGGGAGCTCAGGTCAGCCTGGTGGTCTGAACAAACCCCGTTTAGATAAAGAACTACATTACAAATCCTCCAGAACATAACTAGTCTTTGAATACAAATAAAGTCTACAAGAAAACATCTAATTCAAGTTAAAAACAACAACTCTTTTTCATCCACATATACTAATAAAATAATACATTTTGACAGGTGCTTTTCTTGGGGGTTTCAAACTAATAAAAGATAACTGTGTTTATGTAAAACTGCAGGTTATCAGTAATGTAGCTCAAGTCTAATCAAAAGGTCAAAACTAAACTTTGACTAGCTTTTTAACAGTGAAGACCGTTGTACTAACCTCCATATATGTCTCCACTGTCTTGTCTCAGAATACCTTCTCTGTCTTCCAGGATCTGCTGCAGTGCCGCCTGCAGTTTACTGGGCAGGATGCAGTCTTCATCACCCAGCTAAAACAAACCACAGGAGAAGAGCAGCAGGTCACTGACAACATCTAACCTGACTTATCCAGCTGACTTTTTCTGCTTCAGGGAGAATAGTTTAAATACCAGCAGGCTGAAAATAAACATAGCGTGTTTGTGATTCTGGATGACTAAAACGTACAAGTATTAATCAAGTATTTCCACTACTGACTTTAGTAGTGGAAGCTACTCGCTGCATCCGTTACGGTTAATTACCAGGTCATCAGAAATGTGTTAAAATCGGCTGATCTTTAAATTGGAAGATCAGCTTGGTTAACGCCATTTGATTTTTGGCCTGGCATCGATTATTCTAATGCCCTGAAACGTAGAAAAGTTGTAGCTAAAACTACATCAGCTACTACAGCTCATAGTTAACAGAAACGCAGTGCTTTTCAAATGTTACGCTCAGAATAATTTAAACAAACTTATCAATTTAAAAAAAACTGCACACACATTGTAGCTCCACATCTATAAAACCGACTGAGTTAAAGTAGTCCCTCGTTTATCACGGAGGTTTCCGTTCTCAGTCCCCCCCCGCGATAAGTGAAAAACCGTGCAGTAGGAATAGTAGTACAAGTAGTACTTTTAGTATACAGTATATATAAAATAAAAAAAATAAATAAATAAATAAAAAAAAAATATATATATATATATATATACTAAAATTTCATGCCGATCTTGCAGCTCATCCATCAATCAGCCAATTGTGTGTCATGGCCAATCTTATTTTGGAAAAACGCGAAGTAGCGAGGGACTACTGTATATCCAGTTGTTGTGTTTTCTAAGGTCATTTGACTGTGGCAGCTATTTTGAACTGTTCTGGCCCCCAATGTTAATCAGTTGTAGATAATTTCCTGAAAGTTTCAATAAAATCTGTCAACTGGTTCAGGAGATAATTAGGTAACAAACACACAAACGTTGTTTCGGTTGCGGATGATATTTAAATAAAAAGCAGCCTTACAAAAAATGTGTCAAATGAAGTTTTGCTCATTGTTTAAGATCAATCCTGCAGATTTGAAACAAACAGGATTGTCATGTTTTTGTTCCGTTTCTGCAGTTTCATCGTGCAGCACAGCTTTCTTTGTCACACTCCAAACACTCCACCCAACAGACAAGTGTAGGCAAAGCTATCGTTCCCGGAGGAACCGCACCTACGACTCTCGTTATAGGCGGTGTGTACACACCTGAACGACAAACGTGTCTGCGCACAGATCCACTATGAGCACCTAGGAAAACAAGAAAAGGAACAACTTTTACCGACGGTGTCCGTTTGCTGCACTGTTCAGTAACAAAAATGAAAGCAGTGAATGAGAGTGCCTCTTAATGTAGAAGTCACTGCAGCTTACAGCGAATATAAAACCAAAACATGAACTTCAACCACTGTACAGAAGAATTCATGAATGAAATAAGGCTTTAATTTTTTTAACAAAATTCTGAAAGACATACCTCCTCAATGGGGAGCTCCAGCACCTGCGGCAAACACGGTGCCAGGACACCGATAAGAAATGGGGTCGGAGAGCAGCAGATGTCCAGCATACTGGCTGGTAACACTGGAACGAACGTGTGCTGCCAGGTGAACGGGTACAGCAGCGCCAGCACTGCATGGCCACATCTGGACAACACGCTGCAGCAAAAAAATTTCATTTAGCCAAACATTATTTATTTATTAAGTAAATACACAAATCGTGGTGTGACACACGTGTCAATCAAAAGTTCATGGTTAGAACTATTATTGTAACATATATGTTCATATTCTTGGACTAGTTCTGCGACGACTGTGTGAATGCTCATTCATGCTGTTTATTTTTCTGTACGTTTTGTGAAATCGAACTACGTCTGCATACTTTGTGCTATTTTTTCCAATCATGTATCATAATATTCAAATGATTCAGGAGATATATGCTATGACTTTTTTTTTTGTTGGTAACTTTAATACTTTTCCAAATATTTAACTTGATTTATAAATGTTTTCTTATAGAAATACACGGAGGTCTTCAAATTCTTCTAAGATCTGTTCTTTTTAAAACTGCTTCAGCATATTTTCTTACGGTGGTTTTAGCTAGTCTTTTTCTGCTTTAGCTTTTAGCTAGTGTCCTGCTTCTTTTAGCTTTAACAGCTCAGTTTCTGCCTTTTCAACAAAATCATTCAGCACCCGGCACGGTGGTGCAGTTGGTAGAGCTGCCATCTCAGCGAGTAGGTCGCCTGATTGAATCCTGGCTGGGGGGGTCTTTCTGTGTGGAGTTTGCATGTTCTCTCCGTGCATGCGTGGGTTTTCTCCGGGTGCTCTGGTTTCCTCCCACAGACCAAAAACATGCATGTTAGGCTGATTGGTAACTCTAAATTGTCTCTAGGTGAGTGAGAGAGTGAATGGTTGTTTGTCTCGTTTGTCTCCATGTGTCCCTGTGATGGACTGGAGACCTGTCCAGGGTGTCCCCCCCCCCCACACAGTGATATACGTAGCTGGATATGGGCACCAGTGACAACCGTGACCCAAAAAGAAAGAAGCGGGTAAAGATAATGAATGGATGGGGTTCAGCACTCGCGCTGCATTTTAGCAAAAATGCAATTTTCCACATTCATATTCTGCAATTCTTTTATTAAAAAATTCCTTGACGTTTGTCTGCAAAATAACGACTGGTGCCGTCTCTGTCATTTGTCAGTTTGAGACATTTTGATTCATTTGAACAATTTAAACCCTGATTAAAGCATTTTAGCCTTTCCTGCAAGTAATGTTGTTTATTGAAATTAATTTGTAACATGATTGCTGCTTTAAAAAAAGCAAATCTACAAACCCAGAGTTTGTGGTAGTATATCGTGGGTTAAAATGAACCGTCATCACTGATCATTTTTCAGTGAATGACAAACACACGTGTCAATAAAGACTGACAACAAACCTACCTTGTTTCTTTGTCGAGTCAGTAATTAAAGATTAATTGTCAGATTAAAAAAGGGTGGAATCGAAACACTTCAACGTTTGATTTAGTTTCATGGGAAGTCAAATGAGCCAAAGTACAAAATAACATTTGAACACATGCTCAAAAGACGTGTCACCTTAAAATGAGCCCAACTTTGAAACAGCAATTTTTGCCGAGTATATTTTAGCACATTATAGTAACAGTTTGAGCAGTCTCTGTGAATATTGTACTAATATATCAAAAGATCGTTTGGCTTGAGCAGAATCAGGAACTACTGAAGGATAAAAACTTAACTTCCAATTTGGACTCCACCACAGCTTACAAATGAAAGTGAAACTCAACATATATCAACGTAAACAAAAACATAATAGTAACAATCTAAGTCTTCCATGGTAATGTGTTGTAACACATATTCCTGTGTTTTCTTAGACACATAAGGCCTGTCACAATAACACATTTGCTGGGCGATTAATTGTCTCAGAAATTATTGTGATAAATGATAATATTGTTATATTGATAATATTGTTTGAAATTTGACAATAATTAGTAATTAGAAGAAGAAATGTTAATTTATTTTGTGTGTAGTACATTTTTTGACCACTGGATGGCAGTAGAAGACTGTTTGAACCGAAGGATGGATAGTGAGGGAGCGAGCAGCCTGTCTAAGAAAATGGGAGGGAGGCCCCTTGACGTGACATGGGCTGTCTCTCCTTTCTGTTCTTCGGTTCTCAAAATGGCGGACGCTCGGTGTGGTTTGAGCTCTTTAGCATAGCATTTGTCACACAAAGCTTTTAATTAAAAAAAAATCAGTAAACAAGTTCTCAGCTTCTTTTTGCAGAGAAAAACAACTTATTAGATGAAGGCACCGATTTCAACCATGAATTTTGGAGCTTCGACAAAACAGAGGTTTTTTTCCCCGAGGTCAGCCTGTTAGCTCGTAGCTTAGCTTCTCAGTATAGCTGCTTTTAACGATCCAAAAACACGATTTTGGATCGTTAAAATGGATTTTAAAGAAAAGAGAAAAAAGAGAAAGGGAAGGGTCAGTGAAGAGCACCGGAGTTGAGCCCATTTGTCATCCAGTGTCTTCACTAGAGAGAGCGACACGAAGAAACAACAAAGCTGATAAATGAAAATTATCTACCTCATTTTAATTTATAATGCAACTAATTGATTTATTGTTTATCGCAACAGGCCTACACATAACTAATTTGTATATTGCCACATCAGTACCTGAGTTTGTCAGCGACGAAGATGACCCTCCTCTCAAGCACAAGGGAGGCAAACACCTGTAGGAGTTTCCCGACACTGAGACATTGCAGCAGACTGTCAAAGTCCACATGCTCCAGTCTGGAGTCCACTGGTCGGCACAAAGTCAGTACCTGACAAATAACAACAGCCTTGTTACGTACCTATATTTCATGAACGATGACCAAGTAAATGAGCTTTGAGTTGCAGATATGAATTCCAAAATATTTTCTTAAAAAAATAAAATAAAATTCCAGAACAAGAAAGTATTGATGATTGCAGCATGTTTTATATGGAAAGACCTAGACCTTGAGCATGCATCAGGATATATGGAAAGACCTTTCACTTTTTTTTTTTTTTTTTACTGGTACTGACTGTTGATCACGGCTGACTGTTCTTATCACGTCAGTGTCCCAACAGTGAACAAGCCACATGTGGCCCGAGCCATGTGCAGAAGGGAGAGGCTATGAGGAACACTTCCTCTTCTGATGTCAGCATTACCTCATTGCCAGAGCCAGGGAGGAAGCTCTTAACGGTGACGGTGCGTCCGGGGGCTGGAAAAGGGGCCTCCATCACGCTACGCATAAAAGGATAAACCAGCGCTGGAGACATTTCTCTGCGTCTCTCCACCTCTTCCAGAATCTGAACAGAGGCCAAACCAATCTGTGACTCCTGCAGAAACTCATGATTCAAGTCGTTTTCTTCAAATCGCTCCTTATTCATTAGTAAATTTCCCTTAGCCAACTGGAGAATAAGCAAGAGGTTACATGCACACCATTTTTCTTTTTAGAATAAACACACCCAGTGACTGTTCAGGATTAGCCTTTTGTCCAGCCACCTAAATACATACAGTAAGACGTCAGCAGCGTTTACACTTTTCAAAAGGATTAGCACTGAACTCTGCTCAACTTCTTTTATAAAGGTTTCTATCAGCAGGAACGTGTATGGTTACTTTACCTTTGCAAACAAGTCGAAACAGCCCAACTTGCTGACAATACAATGTACCTCAGGAAGCCTCTTTCCCTTTCCGCTGGGCTTGAAGACAAAGTTTTACAAGTCATAAAACTGGGTACAACAGTGACATTTGTCATAACAAAAAACACCTTAAATGCAAACCCGTTTCATAATTTTTTTCTCTTATAATATCATTAATATTTTATAATACTGTACAGTTAATTTCTGTAGAGTGGAAAAAGTCCAAAGTGCATCCATGTTTATGACAGCACCACTTACTCATTGAACAATAAAGATAAAAGCTGCCCACGCTTTATTTGGTCTTGTTGTCTAACCTATAAAAAGATGGCTCCAGGATGCAGCACTAAAGTCAAGAACACTTTTCAAAACGAGGCCGAATAAAGGTGAAAATATAAAATTCCTGCTGTTCTCCGTCATTGATTCAGAGGTGGTTTATGGTCTGTGATTCACACGTCCTCAGAGATATTGAGTAAGCTTGTGGCGAGCTGCCAAACCGTCTCACACAGAAACACACGAGTCCATAATTCAGACACAAATATTAACTTTGTCCAGACTCACCAGGATCTTACGGCAGTAACAAAACCAGCGACTCCCGTCTTCTCCGGTCAGGACAAAAGAAAAAGTCTCACTGTAAATAAATAAAACAGCAAAGAAACTTTAATCTAACTGCCTACAACATGGAAATCTAAACAAAATTTAATTATACATGTATAGATAGATGTATGCATGCATACATACATGCATGCATGCATGTATACATGGCTAATAAACTGTTGGGTTTCTGAAAGTATAAATGCAAAGCACAAAGAAAAGATAAAAATAAACAGGTATGGCTTGAATTTATAAATACATTTTTTGAAGCTATACAAGTTCAGATTAGAACCCTCACTATTACAATAAACCACAAGCAGTAAAAAATAATAAGAATGTCCAATGTCCCTTAATACTAAAATATTTAACTTGACTGACTTCATGTATTCCTGTGGGGAATTTAAGCTGCTGCAGCAGTAATTTATGGTTTATGGCTGACAGCTGAGGACATAAAAGGAAATGGAAGAAATGTGAGCAGTAAAAAAAGGGAACAAAAACTATTAAACTATATTTTAAAATACATTAAAGGCATACGTAATAAAAGCAAAAGAACACAATAGCACTGAGAAAATAATTTATTATGTTACCATAGTGCCCTTGTCTTAGGATTTGTTAATAAAACAGTGGTGCAGGGTGAACACTGACCTTGGCATCTGTGCAGAGGGCTTCCAGTCCTGACAGTCAGGGAAGCAGAACTTGGGAATCACATTCAGTTGATCCTCAGCTTCTTTGGAGACTCGGGATGACTTCTCAAACTGGAACAGAGAGACTGTTGCTAAGGACAAAACTTAAATTTTCAATCACTGAAAATCATTATTAGAAACACAAAAATATGGCAATAAATTGTAAAAACATTAACGTAAAAAACTGGTTATTCCACAAAGCTTATAGAAATACACAAGGTTCAAATGGCATCAGTTCTAAACTATTACTGAATACTATATGCGCCAAAATTTTCTTGTTTAAACAAATACATATATATACACAGTGTATATAAATATATATATAATTAATTACATTTGACTAAAAAACGATTTTAACAATATCTTCTAAAGTATTTTATAAGTTTAATTCCTCATTTGTTTTGCCAAACAAGATAGAAGTTGATAAAAAATGTTAACAAATTACATTCAGCTGAAGTGAATAAAAGTGATCAGTGACAGGAGGACAGTGAGGTCATGTTAAAGGCTCCTTCTGACCATTTTTGGGAACTGCTGGGTAATTTCAGGAGAGTACGTGTTTCCCGCAGAGCCTTTTCTCAGCGACACCACCACGAAGATCTGGAAAAGTTGCTGCTGCTGCAGCTGATCTCGCTCGAGGGTGCGGTATCCTGACCTCTGTCTGAGCGTAGACTGAACGTAAACAGATCTTCTGGAACCTGTTAAAGAACACATGGTGGGGCGATGTGGAAACGCAGCTCTTTGGATAAATCCTATATAGCACTAAAAAGTGTGGGAGGCCTTTTTAGCAGCAACAATCAGGCAGTGAATTTAAAAACAAAGAAAAGTTTGTGGACAACTACTAAAGCAAAGATCAAAAAGCTTTAAATGTTATCATGTAATGCTTATATATACATATATATATATATATATATATGCTTTATTTTGAGTTACTGGAAAACAAACTAAATAAATGTATTGCCCTTACATCAAAGTTCATGCTCAATAATCCAGGTAGAAAAATCCAACAAAGTTAAGTCAAGTCCTCTAGACCAGTTGTTCCCAACCTATTTTCCTCAAGCGCCCCCCATGGGGTTCAGGCCCCCCAGATTGGGAACCACCACTCTAGACGGTTTCTTTTTGTTGAAACGTTACGTCTTTCATTCAAAGGACTTCATCAGTCCGAGGAACCGCAACAAACTCAGTCTTATAAATAGCACCGTCACATAGTGGTTCAAGCAGTTTGATGGTTCTCAGATGGTTTCTGGAGTCCACCCTCTCCCCCGTCGACTCGTCTGAGGCAGCCATGGCCGAAGTGGTTCAAAACATCAAAGTTCAGTTTGCTGCAGCTCCTCGGACTGATGAAGTCTTTTGGATGAAAGACGAATCGTTTCAACAAAAATAAACCGTCCAGAGGAACTGACTTAACTTTGTTGGATTTTTCTACCTGGATTACTGAGCAGGAACTTTGATGTCTTGAACCACTTTGGCCATGGCTGCCTCAGACGAGTCGAGAGGATGGAGAGGGTGAACTCCAGAAACTGTTTTAGCACCATCAAACTGTTTGGTCCACTGTGTGAGTAAGCCACTTATGGGACTGAGTTTGTTGTGGCTCCTCAGACTGATGGAAGTCTTTTGGTTGAAAGAAGAAACGTTTCAACATAAATAAACCATCCAGAGGACCTGACTTAACTTTGTTGGATATTATGTTAGTTGTGAGCATATGTGTCAAACTGGTTTCAGTTTCCTTCATATTGAAACTCTGGCACAACAATTTCCTGCGGGATCAATAAAGTTCTATCTTACATCATCTTATTTCAGTGATAATTTTGTTTTCTCTTTGACACTTTGGGCAAGTTAACTTTTCTTCCACTGTGAAGTCATGTGTCACTTGAATAAACAGAAATCTAGAAAGTAACAGTGATAAACTCTTTATAAAAAAAAAAAAACAAGTTTTGTGTTCTCGTTTCTTTTCTTCTTCCCGCCATGTTTATATCATAGCACGTTAGTCAATTCCTACAGATAGATTTTTTTTTTTATTCAACATGCAGCTTTTTAATTTAGAATAGTGTTTGGTTAGTATAAACGAACACGGCAGACAGGTTTTGTCTGAGGTGATACCTTTGGTGTCGTCTTCTGGGTCACTCTCTGTTCCGCTGGTCTCCTCAGCTGCCAGGAATGAGAAACATTGGTGAGGACCAGAGAAATGAAAACTCTGCAAGCCATAATCACATGCAGACAGCCGGCCTTTGTTTTATAATAAGTGGCTCTGCCTGCCGCAGCTGGCCTTAACTGCATTATCAAAAGCTGGGAATTTCCAGCAGGAGGCTTGTTTTAACCTCCTGGAAGAGATATGTGGTCACATTTGGACATTTGCAGCAATAGTTTGTCTCACCCCGCGCTGAAAGCCCTTGGTTCTTCACTCTCTTCCTCCCTCGCTTGTCATCAAAAATGGTCTCGATCTTGCTGACATACTGTGAAGCAGAGTACACATGAGCGCGTAGTTGTCAACCTCGACATCGTTACAAGAAAATGACACAACAGTCAGAGTGATACAACATTATAGCATTAGTTCACCCCAAGATTCTCGTGTTGTAATGTTAGAATTCACACAAGGCTCCGTTTTAAAAGAGTTCAACACAAAAACGAGCAAATAGAGGAAGTTTAAACCGATCTTTGAGGAGCACCGTCGTTTAAAGACACAATTTTGCTTGGCAAAATTCAGACAGACTAAAATATCAATTCTAACAAAACAGTCGTGCTCTAAAACGGAAAAAATACATACAGAGAAAATCACAACTGCTTTTATGTTTGGGAATAATGCCATACAGAATTATTCATTATTATTTTAAGATGAATAGCACTTTTGTCTTTATTTTACACAAACAAATGCTGAAACTTAATCTAAAAATAAACCTTTGGCATTTGTCCAATCTGCCAACACCACAGAGCAAGTGCCATCTAAGCTTTCAAGCTTCAATTCTTCTCTAGACCTCTCAGATATCAAGACGTTTGCTTTATTACCTTGTTTTGAAAGGAGCTCTTTATCCTGTGGTTTCCAAAAGCCATAAGTTTAAATCTACTTTATGTGCCGTCTGAATTTGTGAGACGCTCTCGAATGTTGCTCTATCAGATACTTTCAGCATCCTCTCCTTCCTGCTCAACAAGTCACCACCCCCATCTTTGCTTTTCTACTCAAACCATGACTCATCATTAAACCGAGTACACACACATGTCTGTCATTTGTAAAACAATACAAACCTTTGTCAGTTCAAGTATACAGATAACGATTTGTGAAAACTATTATTCACCTGAGGCGTTCTGTGAGATTTTTGAGTGCTTGAGCGCCGAGGTGCCACTGGTTTTGGAGAATTGGCGAAGGTGGAAGATTTGAACGCTGATAATGCTTGGAACCCCTTCTTTTCCATTTTGCCAGCATTTCCATGTATTGTCTGAAGTTTGGGGGGGTGGAGGGAATTAAGCACAAGAAATGTGAAGTTACCACCTAATTACAAGGCATTAAAGTACAAAAAGGTCCACCATACAATTTCAGGTATGTTCCACTGATACAGACATAAAAATGTAATATTTATATACATGCACATATTTTCTTTTACCTTTGGGACTCGGGATCTTAGAGGCGGGAGACACATGGTAGGCAGTTCATCCTCATAGGGATCATCCCTGCTGACTTCACCTGGGAGGTGATGGGAAACATTAGACGGGATGATTGGACGCTCAGGGACAAACTGGTCACTCAAATGGTGACAAGAATCAGCTCGACTGAATTCAGGAATTCTAAAATACATATTTTTTCCTGAGCTGTGAATACATCATAGCAAATTGCTAACCATCAACATATATTATAACTTGACAGAGGACCAGTAACTGGAAGCTGAAGCCGGCTGCAGAACAACCTCCATGGAAACAAATGTGACATTTTCCTGACTAAAACATTAAAATACACTATTTTATTCCATGTATTGACTTTTACTAATTCATGTAGCACTAACTTTGCTGCTGTATGTATGACTGTAGTTTCAATTAGTCATTGAATTTATTTTTTAAGTGACGCAGCGGTTGACAGTGCCACAACATGCTAGCTAGTTAGGAGGGTATGTAGACGGGACTTTTGTATTCCTACTGCACAGACTCTGGTTTCAAACATAAAACATGACACCCCCATGGCTCAAACTGGCTTTAATTTTGGAAGTAAATGAAGATGACCCATCCATTTTATTCAAGTTGATGGTGCTAACTCTCCAAGTGCAGATTTTCACTTGAGTGGAAACACCTATCAGTTATTTGTAACACCTGTAAGATGTTCAAAAATCACGTGAAAGAAAGCTCAAGAACTAAAAGAAGCCAGTCCAGATGACATGACTTAACTTTTTTTGTATTTGTAAAAGAAAACAAACTTATAATTATAATAAAGATAGCCCCAGTGCTGCAAAGTAACATTTATAAGTTACACATTTATTTTATTAGGCCAGCTGCTCTTTTAAAAAGTGACGCATGTTAAATCTGTTTGTTTTTAAAGACCTATAATTTGCCATCAGGGAAAATGTAAATTTCACAGAATAAAAGTTGTCATCATCAGGTTGAGATTCACTGCAATGTACAAAGAACTCACCAATACTTGAATATAATAAGCACAATGTAGCTGTGAGTTTTAACAGTTGGTGTAGATTCTCTGTCATCCAGGACAAAGTAAATCAAAAACATTTAAATCACAGCTCGCCTTCTATTCTGTGTCTGAAGACGTTTCGCTTCCCATTAATAAAGCTTCACAGCTGCAGAGTCGTCTTTACCCACAGAACAGAAGTCCAGCTGTTTAGGTTTTGTATCTTTTTTCTGGATTTCAAAAAATTCTCATTTGTAATAATCTAACAGTGACGTTTTCACCACATTTGATTATTAACACAGCAAAACCTCAGCTGGAGCAACAACACCACCAGCCTGATCAAGAAAGCTCATCAGAGACTCTACTTCCTCAGACGGCTGAGGCGAGCTGGTCTGGGAAGCTCAGTCCTCACCTCCTTCTACAGGTGTGCAGTGGAGAGCATCCTGTGCTCGAGCATCAATGTGTGGCATGGAGGCTGCACAGCTGCAGAAAGGAAAGCTTTGCAGAGAGTGGTGAAGGCTGCACAGAAATCTGTCGGAATCAGCCTCCCCACCATCACAGACATCTACACCTCCAGATGCAGGAAGAGGGCCACCTGCATCATGAAGGACCCCACTCACCCAGCACACACACTTTTTGCCCCACTCCCCTCAGGAAGGAGGTTAAGGAGCATTAAGTGTAGAACCACTAGACTGAGGAACAGCTTCTACCCTGAGGCTGTTAGACTCATGAATCTCTAACTAGAATAATCACTGTGAAAAACCATATGTTGCTGCTGATCTGTTTCATGTTGCTGCTGATCTATTTAAATGTTGATGTGTTCATGTGTGCACATCTGCTCACAGACTCATGTTCATGTTTGTGCTGATGTTCAATGTTTTTATGTTATGAGTGCTTAGTGTATATTTAGTTGATGTTTTTCTTAGTTCATATCTTAGATGTTATTACTGTTTTTCTTATACATTTTATTGTTGGATGTAACTGGGACCCTGTGTACATAATTTCGCTCCACCACATGTACCACATGAGGTGCGAATGACAATAAAGAAACTCTGACTCTGAAAATGTGTCAATAAATAAGAAAAAAATAATATAAGGGGTGGTAAAAAAAAAGATCCTTTTATTTGTGTGCTTTTCTATTTTAAAGGTGTTTAAAATATTTATCCTTACCTGTTGGAATTTTTGTACCAGTAGTATATGGAGATCAGATGCAAACATAAATAATAAAGCAACTTCTAATTTAATACACTTTCCCAAAGAAAGCATCTATTTGAACTGCACGTGTAACAAACGATAGCCCACCCATCAGACTTCACCCTGGCTTCCAAAACCGATGACACATCAGACTTACACACAATATCCTCATAAATATTGTCATCAGAGTAGGCATGGTGAAGGTTTGGGTGAGTGTCCTCATTTCCTCCGTTTCCCTGCTGGGCTGTCAGGCGCGATACATCCTCATACTCGAAGGACTTCCTGCAGCAGAAACAGAGGGGGAAAGCGATAAATTAAAAAAGGGTCTGGCTGTTGTCCTGAAAAACTGCAAACATATTTCTGCAGCATGGCATTTTTTTACAGATAAAACTAAAATGTAGCATTGTAAAAACAATAAAGGAATAATAAGATTTCATGAAATGAAACGAGCATGCGGTCCAAAAGCTGTGATGTGGTAAGATATTTCACATTGGGTTTACTTAATGTTCGCAGCACAGTTTAGTTAAATGGCTAAACAGAAGTTTTGCAACGAGTGTGTACGGTAATCATTTTGCTTCATGGGGGTATTTCATAACACATAAGGATGACAACTACTGAATTTATTTAAAGCTGGATAACAGGAAGACATGCAGCTACACTAACGGCAAACATAAAATAGAAAAATATATAAACATTGGCTTTAAAGATGGTTTACTTTTAAACTTTTTTTAAGACTGAATTGTTACTAAAGCTAATAATAACTTAATTTTTTTTTTTTTTTTTTAATATTCTCCTAAAACCTTCCCAAATTGCTAAATTTTTAACAGTAAGGAGCTGCTGCTTAGTAAACTAAAATAAACAGAGACATGCATAATACTGTGCAAAGTTTTTGCCCAGGACATCCTTGTAAAAGAGATTAATAATCTCAATGGATTTCTTCCTGGTAAAATAAAGGTTAAAAAAAAGAAAAAAGTTGTTGTTCTTATAGTAACGTGCTATGTGTTGTCATCATTGTATGCTGCCATACAATGGCGAAATTACTACTCTGCATTTAACCCATCACACATGAGATACACCCAGGTGGAGCAGTGGGCAGCTAAGTAAGAGCCCGGGGAACAGTTAGGGATTAGGCGATTAACTTTGGCAGCTTTTTATGACAGAGCTTTAAGAACATGCTAAGAAAAAAAATTACATTACAAACGAGAATGAAGTCGTACGACGATAAAGTCATTCAATTCAATTCAAAAATACTTTATTAATCACTATTAGGCACTCGAGCACAACTGGCAAAGAAACAAGGAATGCATCCACGGAGCCTCCTTTTCAACTCATTTGAGATTTGGGGCTGTAGCTGAGCTATTATTTGAACTTTTGAGATGTTAATCAGCTGCTCCTGATTGTAAAAACAACCTTGTTGCCATGGTTACGCATCATAACAAATGTCCAAAAGGAAAAAAGTTTCGGTAAAAATCCTTCCAGCTGCACAGCATCTGATACCAGAGGAAAAAAAATATCCAAAAAAGGTGATTTACATCCAGCAAAAGAGGAATTAAAGTTTCCAAAAGCAAAATCTCAGGATGAAAGTAACAGAGTTACTCCAACATGCAGCCACCCTGAGCGGCGCAATATCATATTGTCATATTACGTGAATAAAGTTGTAATATTATGAGAATAAAGTAGAAACAATGAGAATAAAGTCATAACATGAGAATCAAGTCGTAATATTATCAGAAGTCTGACATGAAAAAGCAGTCTTACAACTACAGTAAAATGATGAATGTTGACGTCGGCAGTACAATAGCAGGGTCCCACTCCCAACGCACTGTGGCATATGGATTCTTATGATCAACTGAAGCCGTATGGCATTGCAGTTGACGGATTTAGTCATCACTTAATGTGGACGAAGGCATATTTCACAAAGAGTGACCCAAAAGTGAGCGTGGACTACTTCATAAACACAGTGAGTCGCATTGCAGGCTGTCCACAGCAGCAGGTGCGAGCTGACCCAGGACGTATTATGAGTTTATTCTCGTAATACTACAAATTTATTCTTGTAATATTCCGACTTCATTCTCGTACGACTTTATTCTCATAATATTATGACTTTTTTTCTCGTAATGTAATTTTTTTTCCTTGCGTGGCCCTAAAGCTCCGTGGTAGCTTTTACATTAATTTATAAAATGTTTTATTTTTTTTTTGTTAAGCCACTCAAGGTAGGTGGTGGTGAGTGATTCAAAATGTGCTGATTTTCAGCTGCAATTTAAAAGAATTCTGGGTTTTTGTAATGAAGTGACCAGCAGCCATGACTTAAAAGGCCAAGTTTTGAAAATCACGACCATATTTGTGTGTGCACGGCTTGCAAAACTGGATTATAGGATGTGTAGTGAACTAGGCCGAAGGTCAAAACCTTGACCTTAGGACCATGTGGGACATAACTTGTCATTTCATTGATTTGCATCCAGAAATACAGGTTGACCCATCCAGAGACTTTCTTTCTTGAATCAATCAAGTAAAAAAAGACTATTCTCTATTATCATTACTATTTTACAAATGTTTGATAATCAAATTGTGTTAGTTCAAACAATGTTTACATGTTGAAGTGAACTACTCATTTTTTAATCAACTGTGAAACAGTAATAATGATTCTTAATCCTCATTCAAAGAAGAAATCAGGTTAATATGCATTGTCTGATTTTCTGTCTTCAATGAGTAAGTTGTAAGTGTGTTCAAAGTTCAAGTTTCAGTCAACTGAAAGTTTACTGAAAAGAAATGTCATGTTTAACTTTTACAGCAAGATACTGGAAGAGGTGGCTCCACGAAGTCTGGTTTCTTCATAATATCTTTCTGTCTGTTCTTAAACAATCTTAATCTTTTTCCTTGACTTTTCATAACACCTTACATCACAAAACACACCTCTGTTTTGGTCCATCGACCAATCAGAGAGTTCTCAAATGAACCGGAAGTGAGCTTCTTTAAATGTTGGAACTTCCTAGTTCAAACTAGTTTTTCGAGCTCCAAGAGATGAGCTCCAAGAGTTTTTCGAGCTCCAAGAGATGAGCTCCAAGAGTTTTCGTGCTCCAAGAGATGAGCTCTAGGAGAGAGCACCAAAAGAGAAGTTTGAGTTCAGCTCAGTCTTGAAGATGGAGTAGCAGTTCTGCGAGTTTGGAGTTCCAGAGAGTTTGGAGTTCCAGAATGCAGAATGCTGGAATTCAGGATGCTGCTGAAAGAGAATCAAGCTGAACCAGAGACGATTTGGGAATTATAACTTCTGTTTGGATAACCTCACGACTCCAGAGGTTTTTAGCTGTTCTCACGGAGACGCTGAAAGAGTTGAAAGGAGAGCTCTACACCAACGCTGAAACTATCATCTGCAAGGTAAAAAGTTCGATCTCAACCAAGCGTACCGTTGGGCCAAGCTGATTTCCAAAGGAGCGTGCTGTTCTGGTTAAAACAGACAAATTCCCTCACACATCTCTCTGTAGATAAACCTCATCTTTCCATCTTTTAAATTCTCCTATCTGCTAGCAAATTAATCCAGATGTTTTTCAGAAATGTCTGTGGTGAAGCAACGGAAAATCATGGCCGTATGGTTTTCCTGGTTGTAAAGCTGATTAATTATGTCGTTATTTTCAATTTTGCCAATTAATGTAAATGTATGATGTGTTAAACTTGATTCTGTTAATAAATGACCCACTGTCGTGGTGAGTCAAAGATAATTAACGTCTCACGTCCACATTTTATTACATTCAATGCACGTACATTATACAGTCCAGAAAAATGAAAGAATCCGTTTTAACAGTAAGAATATATCTCATCCGTATGTCATACTACATCTGGTGGCCCGTCTACGTGTTCATAAATGGACTGTATTCGTGTGACAATTGAATATTTCATGTTGGCATGAAAAATTTGCAGATTCTGCTGTGATGAAAAAGTGCAGATTGTAGCGGTGTTGAAACGCAGCTCAGCTGCGGCGCTTGGAGAAAACACTGCATGTTTACGCTGTGATGCTTTGAAAGCTGAAATTGTGAGTCAACGTGTCTCTTTTGAAGCTGAAATTGTACATCTGTTGTGTAACATAAGCTGGATTTGAGCTGTGGAAAACGTTATTCTGTTTAAACTGTGGTCCAAACGGACGGAGGTTCTGTTGGTTCCGGCTCGGTTCTGAGAAAATCGAACGAGTTGTTTTAAATAGATGGAGAAACGTTTTAAGGACTGGACGAAGTCTCCGTTAAGCTCAGAGTTGATTCGTTACATTTTTAACAGAAAAAAGTGCATTTTGACAGTTTAAAAGACGAAAAGTTGACGGACTTATTTCAGGCTAAGACTAACATGCTAGTTGGAAAAACGGTCCGTGATTGGTTGGAAACGGCTGAGTTGGGACGCTGTGATTCGCTGAGAAATGAGTGACGTGCCTACGTCATTTCCTCTCACCCTGTTGTTGCTCTGTCATTGGTAGATTCAGTCACGTGACCCGGAAATGAAAACTCGTTTTCATAGGGATTTTCAATCTGTTTTTAAAGCTGAAATAAGCTTTAAATTTGCATTCTGATCCGCTGCTACGTTCTTCGAAACCTAATTGCTGAAATTTTGCCAAATTTGAGTTTGAAATCCGTCACTAAATGGTGTTTTCAGACCACGCTAGCCGATGCTAATTTTAAGCTAACAGCTAACGACCGGATGCCACAGGAAGTCATAGCGACTCCTACTGGACAACACTAACAGTGTCTGAGTTAAAATAAAGCAGGGTTATACTCCCCCCTCCTGGGAAACTTGATATCACAAGTTTCACTTCGATTTAAGTGACTTTGAGTGAAATTAGACGTGCTTAGACGCATTTGATGAGTTAATAAACGTTTTTCAAGCTGAATTTTTACTGTTATCTTACATTTAAAAAGTGAAAGGTATTTATGCAGAAAGGCATTTACCAAAAAACTTTTATTCACTGGTAATCCCTCATGAGAAGGTACAAAATAAAAGTTAGAAACTTTTTTAAAAAAAATACAGATACAGATATTCACAGAGATAAGTTTACTCATTTGCTGGAAAGATAATGCACGTTTAATTGCTAAATCACTAAATAAGAGTAAATATCAGAAAAAGAGACTTTCTGATTTTATTTTAACACCTAAAACATTAAATTCTCCTATTTAATCTTTAAATAGAAGAAAATGGCAGGAGAAGAAGGAGAGGCTGCCCCTTTCATCTCCCAATCACATGATGATATCATTTTGGGGGCTTTACATATTTTAACAAATTCAATTATTGGTAAGCAAATAGAG